ACACCATGTTGGGAAGACTCTATCATAGGCAAAATAGGTTTCAATGGGACAAGAAACATATGTGTTTTGGGTAAAACATAAAAACGGAGACGAATTGAACCAGGGGATCTAAACAAATTAGAAATATCACTAGGAAAAACTTCACTTTTAATTCATTAGTTAATGTGAAGTTAAATTTATCTATTGGGCCTAACTGAGCAAAATTAGAGGAATCCTTAAGAATCGTCATCATCTTCTTTACATAATTCTGATAATCCAAGATGAAAACGTCTGAGTCTTTGTCAGGTTTCGTAATGACCAAAGATTTCTTACGACCGAGAGATTTGATAATCCGATATTATTCCTTGTTCCACTTGAATTCACAGAAGAAAACAGGAGACCTCACGTATGAATGCGCCATGTCATTCAATTCAACTCAGCTAGCCATTTTATACGTATAAATCTTTGCATATATGTGTGTGTATGTGTGTGTGCATGTTTAATTTATATATATATATATATATATATATATATATATATATATAAATTGTGTGTTTAATTTATGTATATATAGATGCTTAATTTATGTATATATATATATATATCGATAAATTGTGTTTGATCTATATATATATATATACATAAATTAAACATATATATAAACTAAACACGCACACCTACACAGGCACACACACACCTACACACACACACACACACACCTACACATACACACACACACATGCATGCACACAAATATATAGAAACATACTATCGTCACTTTCTTTTCCGTGTATTGCTTAATATATTGTAATCTAATTATCATCTTTGATAATGGCTTATGTAAGCTGAAAGCTTAGATAGGATTAAAAAATATGGATCAATATGGTGATTTTCTTTCTTCGTTTAATGATAATGTTATTGAGCTTATCAGAGGTTATGAAAAGAATTTACATAAAATAAATAGACAACACTTGTCTATATAGATAGATAGATAGATATATGATTGAACGCATGTGTATCTGCGCCTAACCTCAGATGTGTGTGTGTGTACGAACTAAAATACATACACCTGTGCCTATGCATATGAGAGGGTCATCCCAAAAAAACATAGAAGAAAATTGCCACATCTACCAGATACACAAATAAGCAAACAGAAATAAGCATGAATAGTAATCTGTATGGGTAGTCGCAAGGAGGATGAAATCCTGAAAGGTCAATGTAAATCCAGAGCTAATATTTTAAAGAAAAACAGACCACTTTAAGGTTCCATTATAATAATTTATTTCACCAGAGCCCTTTTATAAGACGCTGGACCATCAGATAGCACGTCCAAAAGATGAAACGAAAAATGAAATGAAAATTCACACTTTTGATAGGTAGTATTAAGTTTTTGAAATTTATATATATATATATATATAAACAATACAAGCAGTATATATATATATATATATATATATATATATATATATATATATATATATATATATATATATATGAAATAACGATATATAATTTTGTATAATTTTATATATCAACAAACAGTATTTAGAAAAATAATATGACAAATTGGAAAAAGGTTTTGTGGCGCGTTTCATCCGTTACGATTTCATCGGTCTGGGCTTTGTTGATGTTGACACGAATAGGATCCTTAGGAGTAGGTAATTTTCCAGATGAGATTTGCTTGATGGAGCCACTTACCTCTTGATAGGTAGGTTCAAAAGACAACTCCGGAATTTCAAGATTTTGCTCAGTTGATGTGATGGCTTCCTCATCAGTAACTGAAGTTGTGTTTAACACAGTTTCGAAATTATCTTTCCAGCGATCTAAAATGTCTGACTTATCCGTCAAGAGAGTTTCACAATCTGCTGTGGAGATTGGATCAACACTACATTTCTGAGGACCGAAAATGCTCTGAGGCCAGCATTAGATACTTTCTATCTGAAGCTTCTTGGAGTTCAGTGGCTTTTTCAGACAACCAACGCGCTTTCATCGTTCTGACAGGTCGTTGAACCTGACTTTTGCACTTCTTGTAAGCGGTCTTCTTATCAAACGAGTTCTTGTCCTCAATCCATGCTTCATGAGAAGAGTGCAATTGATCTATAAGCTGCTGAACTTCTGTATTATTGTCATCAAACCAGTCTTGATGTTTACGATATGGCAGTCCGAGGAGCTCCAAGGATGTAGAATGTGTTGCATCACGTAGAGCCTTCCAAGATGATTCGATATCATTGGTAATGTTTACAGAATCAAGTGCCGCATCAAGTTTGGCAGACAACTCAATTTTCATTTCAGTCGATTTAAGAAGCAGTACGTTAATGCACTTGGGCACTGTAGATTTTATAATCCTTCACTTTTGCAGATGCAGTGCAGCTTTACTCCGAAGTAGAGCGTGATCTGACAGATAGCATGTTGTGTGAAATGAACGCGTTATCTTGAAATCTTTTATGTCCCGTCTTTTGGTGATGACATAGTCGATCAGATGGCCGTCTTTGGAACGAGGGTGCATCCACGTGGTCTTACGACAGCTGTGTTGCTGGTAGAAGGTATTAATGATAGTAAGGTCAAATTCCTTGCAGATAGGGAGAAGGCGTAATCCATTAGAATTCACATGACCAATACCATGGCGACCTAAACGCCCTTCCAAGAATGATAATCACTGCCAACATGAGCATTGAAGTCAACTGTAAGGATTAATTTCTCCTTATGATGGACTTTGGACATGACATCCCGAAGATTGTAAAAATCTTTTTCTTCATCTGAACTACCTAAGGTTGATGCGTAGCAGCTAACCATGGTCACACGGGTGTTGCACTCCAGATTGAGGGTTAATGGCATTATGCAATCAGATACACCTTTAGGTAAGGAAGGCAGTGAGCTAGCAAGGTCTGACTTGATGGCAAAGCCAACACCAGACTGGCGTGGCTCTTTCTCAATCTTGCCAGCCCATAAAAATACGTATCCGCCATTTTCTTCCATAAGCTGAGAATTACCAGCTAGACGTGTTTCACTAATGGCCGCTATGTCGATGTTATATTTCTTCAACTCGAGAGAAACAAGAGCTGTTTTAAAATCTGCTGCAGAATCATTGTCCTGAAGAGTGTGAACATTCCAAGATCCAAAATGGAAAATTCTTCTTATACTTATTCTGACCTTTCTTGCTGTTTCGACTGCTTTATTGGATAACTAGACGGCTGCAGCGGGCTGCCAAGTCTCTGTGTGAGCAAGCAATGTTTAGGGCTCCTTTTATCGCTCCTTGCCCATAATAAAGAAAACAGAATAAATATCGCCCTTCCTTATGATACCTAGACTTTACCAACTTAAGTACGGTACTAGATTGGCAACAAGGTCTCAAGTGTAAATTGTTACAGTTGAATTGACTAGATGTAACCGTAAGTTCTATGTTAACAGTTTCTTTTACCGCAATCCTCACTCGTGGTTCAATGCTTTCCAGCTAACGTTGATCTTCAAAATTTGAAATGCCACGTTAATCGTTAGCTACTGTCTTCCTAATTATTATTCTTTTATTGTTCTCGTTCCTTCATAATGTTTTCTGTTTTCAAATTCTTTCGCACTCAGTAATCCCTTGTCTTGGTGGCTTTAACGCCTTGCTTAGGGTAAATTCTAAATAGGGCTGGATTGTCACCTATGGAGGACACGGATATCACAATTGCTAATGGGTTTGTGAAAGAACGGCCATCATCCATCGGTCTGCCACTGTGCAGAGTTCCAGCTAGAGCCTTCCAGTAATATCCTTTACCTGACCCCGTCGCCTTCACTCTCTCACCAGCGGACCTTGCAAGTGAACTGTGTGGATAGGAACGAATCAGGGTAAACCGCCAGAAAACCCACACAAGTGATTTGATTAGAGTGGTGAAGGCTTGTGCCGAACCATCCACACTTTTCGGAACTATTGATACACTCAGTCGGTGCAAATAAATGCCACAGACGAAGCAGACAATATAACTCAGGCTTTTCGTATAAGAGTTTTCCATCTCCTAGACCAATCGTGTTCTATAACACTAAAGAGCTTGGTCAGCCCTGGTAGACACTATTTGCCCATAGCTGGGACCCTAACAGGTGCTACCACCCCATATAAATTAAACATATATATATAAATTAAACACGAAAACCTGCACAGGCACACACCTACACACACTCATACCGACACACATACACGCACATACATACACACAAAATATATATATATATATATATATATATACACACACACACATATATATGTGTGTGTGTGTGTGTGTGTGTGTGTGTGTGTATACATATAAATTAAACGTATATGTTTGCAAATACGTATACATGCAACTATATACATACCTGTATGCGTGTGTATGTGTGTATGGATCATTTACTCTCATATACGTATATCTATATATGAAATGCATAAATGCGTGTGTCTCATATATTATCATGTATACGTATGTTTGGGTTTGCATATATATATATATATATATATATATATATATATATATATATATATACATTTATTTTGTCGTAGTCTTTAATTAACGCAGTAAAATTAAGTCAAATGCGAAAATCATCATACCAGAGGAGCAACCAACTTCAAAATAACATTAAGTACTGAAAATTCATGTCACTTATGCGGAAAAGTTTACAAGTCATCCGGTGGACTGAAAAGACATGCAAACTGCCACAAAACAGGCCCAGTGACAGCAGAATATATGTTTCTCATGTTTACAGACTTTCTTGCGTAGACTTTGAAAAGTTCGTCCCGTTTTTAAAGAACCACTAACGTTTAAAGCGCAACCTAGTCATACAATGATCGCTTGTGATAGTCATACTCGACAACAAGCCAGCAACCGTCCTCGTGTATGTAGATGGTAATTAAAATGGGCGGGATTGAAACGTACAAGAAAGAAAAAACCCCATTGTTTTCATTATTTAGAAATTAGTAGGGAACATATCTTCTCCGTCGTTTTGAATGGAGGTTGGCTCAGTGTTTTGTGGGCGGAATCTATTGTCGGTAAAATATTATGCTTCATTAC